AAATGACATAAGTAGATAGAATTTTATTTTATTTTCTATGGTTTTATAAGTTAATAATCTTCTAGGGCTTCCAAGTTTGCTAGTTAAGTAAAATTTATTTGCGCGAAAACCGTTTTAATTAATTCTTTCTTCTTCAACACTAGTAAAAAAAGCAGCAAAAAATTGAACTCTAAGACAATAACTTATAGTTATTAGAGTGTAGAAGGGCTTACATTGATCCTAAGGTAATTCTCGTTGTTATGAAGGGCTTGAAAACAACAGAGATGTGGTAATCAACCATATCCTCACTTCCTGCACTGAACAATCTATTATTGGAGTAGATCCATCAGTTATCCAACAAAACACCCCCCACTTTGAAACCCTTTTAGCACTGTATTTTCCTTGTCTCCTTTTCGACCCTGATCCGATTGAAACACAATAAAACGCTCATATTCCAAGGGCTTGATTACTGGGAAGTAATCCGGATTCTTCTTTGTTATCTGTTTCATCACCTCACTAATTGCAACCAAAGTCTGCAATCATTAAGTTAATTATTAAATGATAATATGACAATTTTTACAATCTGATTTATAGTAGGTGATTTTTAATTTCTTTACAAAAAAAAAAAAAAAAAAAAAGAATCTTACAGGATTGTTGGCTGCCATTCCACCTCGAAGATTGAATTCATGATCTTTGTTGGTAAAGCAATGGCAGGAGAATAATTGGCGCTGCTGAGGTCCCTATGCATATGTCCGATAATTTAGCATCTAAGCATGTATCGGGTGTTACTGCATGCGTGGAAAAATTAAATATAAAAATTATATTCCTTTTTTTATTATCGGACTGGATAAACTGTTTGCTTCTAATTACACTGCCGGCGAAAAACACAAGCAACGAATGTTCATATTAACTTCATTCAATATATCGTCTATAATAATAAACCTAAGACTTGATGTGTTATTCTCTACTTATAAAAGCTTTATCTAAATATTTATCCTCTGCTCTCAAGTCTCAAACCACTTTCATAAAACTTCATAAAATAAGTATTGTACTGATAGACGCAACCGCGGCCATGGCTAGCAGTAAAACTTTTCACTTTGTGCATGGCTATAACTCAACCTCTTTCTCTGGTGTTTGTGTGAAATTGATCATGATTCTGGCTGTGTTTATGTGTATAAGATATGTATATGTATCATCTTGTAGCTAGCAACCTGATAGGAGGAAAAGAAAGTGGGCTGAAGTTTCTTGACGTCGAAGGTTGGAATAACTACGTTTGTCAAAGCTTGGTGCAATCTTTTGTCCTTTAAATTCTCCCTTATCACCTTATGGAGATACTTCCCATCATATTGCTTCCCGTTAGAGCTTTCCATAGATTTACAAGCCAAGCTAGCATTCCCCTGTGTATTTCATAACCAAAGGTGAACCAGCCACGTCAAAATACATATAACAATTCTAACGCGTAGCAGAAGACTAGAGAATGATAGATGATAAACTTGACCATCAAAATAAAATAAATTCAGAAGTTAATTAAAAGCCACTCATTTCATTTCTGTTTTAAAACACATATTAATCCAAAATAAAAACCATTCAACAAACAAGCTTGGAATTTTCTGGACTGATAGGCGCATGTGGAGTGTGGATCAAAATATTTAATATTTAAAAACAATGAGTTGTTCTTTTTTATAATTATTTTAAGTTGACATATGTTATTGAATGAGTTAACCATATCCTGTCTCTTGGCTTAATGTAATACCTGGGCTGAATGCGCGTGGTTCTCTTTTTTCTTTGTTCTTATTGACAAGAAAACTAGTGATGGTTTCTTCTTCTTTTAAGTAATTAATCAATAATTTAAGTTCAAATAATGTTGTAATTCTACTAATCCCTTTTACTTCATCACCTCATATTCAAAGCTGTTCTTGAAAGAAAGGATTTTTAAGAGACAAATGGGCAAATAATATACCTGATTTTGATTTTGCAAGCTATGTGAAGTCAAGATATTTTGGTTTATCTCTTCCAATTTAAAATAGTGAATAAAAATGACAAATTGTAATAGGTGGGTGGTCTGAGAGTAGAAGTGTTCAAACCTGTAGAAAATACTTCAACATAAATTGTAGATAATTTTTAAGATAATCGATTGAGTTTGAATCCAAGCAGGGATCGATATAGAATAATTTTAGTCTAAAATTGCAATATTTGTGGCTAAAGTAATGGAGATGCAGAATTCGATTTTGAATAAGATTTGAAACGACTAAGATCAAGATCGATCGCAGTATTGATGTTTGAATCGATATCGACGTGGCTGCTTGAGCTACCCAATCTGATAGGATATGTTCATTCAATCCAATTGACGTAAACCGAGGACATCCCCATGGACCACAATGTGTTTGCAGAAAACAGTAGGTGTACTTGGAAAAAATTGAGGTGCATTTAGTAGCCCATTTACGATGAAAATCTCCACAGCTGGGTACTGCAGTACTGATATCTTACTATGGCCCATAAAGATTGCAAGCAGGACCCATTTGGAATTTACACACTGCGTTACAATTTAAACCCGCAGTAATTGGCAGTGGTATTACAGTGTTACTTGACCGATTTGGAAAATTTTAAGTGGTCTTAAAATAAAATTATAAAAAAAAGGATGTTATATTAAAATTGTAGGAATATATCCACCATATCTATTATCTACATTCTCTAGTTCTGAGTTCTGACCACAATGTGTTAGAATTTGATTTCAAGGCCCATCCCATCAACCTCCTCAAACCTGATTTCATACATCCAAATGCAGCAAAATCTTTCCCTTCTTTGTAAAATCAAGAGCCATCTGTTTTACCAATAAACGCACTTTCTTTTACGATAAGGATAAAACTGTAAATTCCACATACTAAAGTCGGCTGAAAACACTGGTTTTGAAGGGAACTTAGGGAAGCATGTTAATTGTCTTGATAGGGAGGAGAAATGCTGCAGAAATCATGTTAATTTGAACTACTTACTATAGTTCTGTACTAACAAAATAAGTGAAGTGTGATTGCTTTAGAGGAATAAGAACAAAAGGGAATAGTCATAATTTGGCACAAATTTAGAATACATCATTTGAACCACAGGGGGAGGTGAAGAAAAGTTAAATACTTGAGGGAAAGGAAGGAATGAGTGGGACAAAGTCAAAGCATTTTTCTCTTTTTGGTTCAACAAACATTGTCAAGCATTTTCTCTTTCTGGAGGATAATTGTCTGACAGATGTCTATATTTGTGTTTAAGGAAGCATATGAGGAATTCAAACATGTCCTTCTTGCCTTTATATATGACAAAGATGATCAGACATCTCCTGTAGCAAATGAGGTGAGTAACAATAGGTCTTCATTTATAGCTTTACCTTTGTGGTGCCTTTTTCTTTCCTCGTCTATCAAAGAGAAAAAAGAAAGGTTCTTTTCCTATTGTTAAGTTATCATTTAATCTAAAAGCTTAAGCTTTTTTAGGTAAGGACTTCAAAATAATAATTAAGCTCCAACTCATTTTAGTTAGAGTTGGCATTACTTTTTATACTGGAGAACTGGAATCTGTTTTCTATAATTATTCTGCACTTTCTGAATATAGTTTGCACTGGAATTGGTTTCACTTCCTCACAAGGTCAAAATGGTAGTGGGGCTTACAAACAGTTGCTTTTTAATTGAGAAATATTTTCTTATTATCACTTGTAATTGTTATAAGCAAGGTGAAAAATGGTATTCTACTTGGGTAATACTTCTGTGCTTAAAGTTTTCTTATTTATACTCAAGTTAGGTAGGTTAAGGAAGTAACTAATTTTTAAGAATATTGTAATTTGCATTACTTTAAGAGTAGAAATATAAACACTTCAATCAACTTTGCCTGTCATGTGAAATTTTAATTTAAAAACTTAAGAACACAACATGAACTATTTAAACTTGCATTCTATAATGTCTGCAGAATTACATGTTAGTTTCATAGCTGTATGTGTTACCATTTCTTGTTGTCTACATCTTGGGTTCCTTACATATTTTTTGTAAATTAATTATTTGTAATGATAATATTTGAATCTTCGAATTGGATTATGGTAGAAATTGTATTATGAAATCAGAATTTTTCTAAAATCAACTGGGAAATTAAGGTTGCTTCCATGAGTAGGGACTGTTATTAATGCAATTAAATTTAGTCCATTGGAGTTTAATATTAAATATAGCTTAAATAACTATAACTAAATCTTTTTGAGGGAAATAGGTTTTAAAGAATTTGATTGTTTAGTTCTTGGAGTCTAAGATGCAATTTATTCTGTTCCAAAGATAGGCGTAAATGCTTTTGTTTAGTGCTGCCTCTACATGGTTGAGCCATTTGATCAGATACTGTGAATCTGGATCTCACTTAGATTGAGTGTGAAAGCCTACTGCTGCCAATCAAATTATTGCGGATTCAATAAAACAGTGGCCTCATTTGATTAGTATGCATAGCTTTGATGATGCTCTTTCAATGTATAGGGTTTTTACGAACTGAACTAGGAAAATTTGACTCTTCAGTTTTTCTAAATTTAGTTGTTGGATGGCAATTAAGAAAATGTGTCACTGGGAATTGGAAACTTGCATGTTTATTACTATTAAATTTTCAAACATGCTTTTTTTTTTATTTATTTTTTTAATGATATCTTTGTATCTTCCTTTTTTCTCTTTATAGTTTTGTCTTCTCCATTGTAGATGTTATTTTAGATGAAATTAAGTCCAATATTTGTTTTATTAATAATTTTCCTTTAAATGCCATATTGATAACCCGAAGAAAGTTATTCTATGACCTACCATTTGTAAAATAAAATATGTCTTAACAATGTGATGTACACGTTTCAGTGGGCAGAAAGGAGGAGGTTTGAAATTGCTGGATTAATGTCATCTGTCTTAAGAGCTCATTTACATGCATATGATCCAGTTTTTTCAATGACATTGAGATATTTGATAAGGTAGTCCAGCAGCTTTGGATAACACCCTCTTATTAAATGATTATGTTGNACACGTTTCAGTGGGCAGAAAGGAGGAGGTTTGAAATTGCTGGATTAATGTCATCTGTCTTAAGAGCACATTTACATGCATATGATCCAGTTTTTTCAATGACATTGAGATATTTGATAAGGTAGTCCAGCAGCTTTGGATAACACTCTCTTATTAAATGATTATGTTGTGCCCTTGTGCATGTCTAGACGCTAATCTTCAATTTCATTCCATATTGTGCAGCATACACAAAGGATTTTGCTTTCATCAAGGACTTCTGTCACCCATATCAGATCTTACTGAGAGGTTACTGCTTGAGGAACGGGACCCCCCTGCAACACCACAGGAGAGTACATATGAAGCACCTCCTTTTGATGAGGTGAGATTTCTAAATTACGGTACTGCAGTAATCATTTTAGATGTTCCAGAGTTGTTAAAGAACACCACAGGAGAGTTCGTACAGTTCTGATTCTTGGACTTGCAACTTTCTCAATATTTGCGTGTTAGTCTTCTGTTATAAAAGAAGAGTTATCTACTGCTCTTAAGTATAATTTTATTATTACTTTTGAAATATAGGTGGACATACAAGCCCTTGCGCATGCTGTAAAGATTACAAGACAAGGAGCTGTTGATAGCTTGAGATTCACTCGGGGTGATCTATTTCTGGCATTTCAGGTTGTAAAATATTCTTCAATTTATTAAGTTTAAAATTTTTATATATTTATTTGCACTGTTTATTTACCTTCCTTTACTGCGAAGCTAGTATACACTCCAAATATATGGGCAACAGGTTTCCCTGTGTGTACTTAGTATACGCTAGGCAATGCTAATAGTTGAAATGTCAGTGTAAGGTGTATAAAAACTTGAAACAAGATTGCTTGTGTTATGAATTCTATGCTAATGTTTTAACATTGTAACTTTTTTTAGGAACACCATCATGCTCGTAATCTCTGATAACTAAATATAGGCTAGTTTCACGGTCTTATTTTTATACTTCATTTTTATTATGTTTGGTTAAGTTGAACATTTTCATCATGCAATTTATTGACATATTATTGCAGAATGAATTATGCCAGATGAGATTGGATGTTTCTGTGCTCGATGAACTTGTTCGTGAATATTGTGTTTATAGGGGCATTATTGATTCCACTCTTGCATCTTCTTCTGGTAAAACCTGGTATTTCCAAACTTAATATGATTTATTCAGCATTTTTTTTTTTGTTCAAACCGTGATAGTTTCTTTTCAATCTGTGTGAATCAGGAATGCAAACCCCTTCCAAATCTGTGAAAGTTCATCAACCAGAATCTGGGTATTGTTCATCAAGGAACTGCTCCCTTGAAGTGGATTGTAGTATCAGTAAACATTCAGATGGTGAAACTTCCATTAGTAATACTAATATGGATGCTTCTCCCGAAAATAATACTGATGTGACAAGCATGCAAGGTACAGATGTCGAATTACGATTTGCTGGTGAGCCAATTGGCAGTCATGAAGATTGTAGCACCAGTGGTTCACATCAGCCTGAAAGTTCAAGAGTTCTGAGAAACAGAAGCCATGGAACTGGAGAAAGGAATAAACGTAAGAGGTGGAGGGGAAGGCATGATGACTTTGGTTATGTTCCTGATGTTTCTCTCAATGGATGTGATAAGCAAGAGCTTAGCTCTTCTAGTCTTTTTAGCAGCATGAAAATGTCAAAGGAACACCAGGTATTTTGTTGAGAAATTTTACTATTAATTGTAATAAATTGTTTACTGAAATAACTTTGGTCTGCAGGCTTCAGAAAAACATATCATGTTTGATTTTAGCCATAAGGATGATAAATATGAAATTGTACTGGGGATGAAGGAGCTAGCTAGCAGAGGAATGGCTGCTGAGGCTGTTGAAGAAGTTAATACTATGGATCCAGACTTTTTTGTGCAAAATCCTGTACTGTTATTCCAACTTAAGCAGGTGAGTAGATCCTGCATTAAATGGCTTCCTTCGCAAACATTGAGGAAAAGACATTGATGATTTTCTCATCATCCACTTTTTGTTTGTTGTTATTAGGTTGAATTCCTTAAGCTGGTCAGCTCCGGTGATCATTCTGCTGCTTTGCGGGTTGCATGCTCGCACTTGGGTCCTTTAGCACATAGTCATCCTGATTTGTTAAAGCCTTTAAAAGAGACTTTGTTGGCATTGCTCTGGCCTAATGAGGATGCAGTTGTAAAAGGCTTCCCTTTACATGCTCTTGCAACTTCACTGCAGGTATAATGTTACTGACATGGTTTAATGGGAAGTTCATTGTCTCTTCTTCTCTCTCTCCTAGTCAGCATTCTTTTTCAATAATTTGTTCAGCTATTCATAACTTAAGCTTCTGATGCTGGCATTCACTGGTCAACAGAGAAATAAGATTTGGAAGTGTATTACTGTCGTAAGCTTCATTGCTTTACACATACAATGTAATGAATGCATTATCATGTGTAGTAATTCTGGGTGCAGTAGCTTTTTGCTCATGCAAGATTCACCTCTGTGGATCATCAAGTGATTTACCTGGAGGATAGCACGTACTTGCTCCTTTAGAAAGGTTACTGTCTTTTGGGGAAAATTTGAGATGAGCAAACTTTCGTATATGCTGGTGACATAAAAAACTTGTCTGCTAGTATATGAAGCCGATATTTGGGTTTAGTGGTTAAACATGCTGCATTTGTATTTCTCCCTTGCAATTTATTCACAAATCTTTAGTTTTGTGCTTGAATTCTATTCTGCTCAGCATTTTAAAAGCAATATTTTATGGTATCTCAGATTACTAATTACTCTATATCTGCTTCTTTTGGCTTTTCACCTAACCAATTTTTTTATATTTTCTGAGATTGTGGTATCTATGATTCATATTTTTAATCAAATGGCAACATAAACACTTAGGTTTTATTTTTGATAGGTTGCAATCGGTAGGAGGCTTGGTATTGAAGAGCCACAGCTTATGAAGATCATAAGAGCTACCCTTCACACACACAGTGAATGGTTTAAACTTCAAATGTGTAAAGATCGCTTCGAAGGTCTTCTGAGGATTGATTCGTTGAAGGAAGTTAATACTCCTTTACTTGGTGCTGCTGCTGTCATGTCAAAGTCAAATGCAGATAGTTGTACTCAAGCATCTTCCCAAGCCACAATATCTTCAAATGCCAGGCTGTCAGAAGATGGTAGCAGCCCATCTCAAGTGTCTTCTGGAGATGTTGTCTGTGATGAAAATGCAATACTCAAAGTAATGGTAAGTGGAGCATACACATTATTATTTATCAAAGTCTAACTAACAAATACTTTTCCTACTAATCTAATCATCGCATGATGTTCCTGCATATTAAAATGCATCAATAACTTTTCTTTCTTTTGTCTGAGCTTTTTCTTTCGTGCCTTTCTCTTCATTTCAAAGTTATTATTTTAACTGTCACTAATTTTCATATTACTGTCTTTGCTTTGATGGATCTTTTTTGTGAGATGAACTTCTCAACTCAAGTTCTAAGAACGGTCCATAACTTGCATCTTTTTGCAAAGAAAGTGTGACATAATATTGTATTATTGATGGGTGCAGGAATTTCTGGCTCTGCCGAGGGCTGATGCCATCCACCTACTTGCTCAATATAATGGGAATGCTGAGACTGTCATCCAGCAAATATTTGCATAGATAAAATTGTAATAAGTAACTTCAGTGAAACTAATTACCATTTGTTTATTTATGTTAAAATATCATTTCATTGGGTTTTGTGCAATAGACCCTCCTTGTAATTAAACTGTCACGTCCCTGGGGGAAATCCTGTTGCAGTCACCACCAGTGACTTGTCTGTTGCTTCTGTTGTACATTATATTTAGTGTTTCTGTAAACAAGATTAAGAAGAAAAACAAAAGAAAAAAGAAAAAGAAAAAAGCAGCATTCGTCTAACCAAATTATTGATTGTTTCGATCGTGTTTACTGAAAGTGTGGGTGTACTCGAGTTTATGCGTATTTACTATATTTCTATTGTTTTCATTTTATACTTCTTTTATTTATTTTTAATATTTGCTATGTAATAAAAATAAAATTACTTTATACTAGTTATATTGTTTTTAAACGACAACAACATAATTAACATTTCGTGGATTGGATTTAAAGTATGGTTTACCAATGTTCTGAAAACCGGATCGGACTGCTCAGTCGGACCGGTTTAACCGGCAATCGGTGGCAAATTCGGTAAGATTTATATAAAAAACCGTCATTTTGATTTAAACCGGATTGGACTGCGGTCGGATCGTAGGAATAGTGTCGAATCGCGGTCCAATCGCAGCTAAACCCTGTCGGACTTCGGCATCTTTCGACGAAGAAAACACTCCCATTTGACGGACGGCATCTCCACAACCAAAACCATCCATTTTCAATCGCTTTCGTCCAGCCTACGTCGATCGTCGTCTAAAGTTCACGCGACGTCGGATTTCTTTTGTTGATTCCGGCGAGTTCCGATGACGATGGAACTCCCTAGCACCACCATCAGAGTCGTCGGCACCTACACATCAAAAGCCCCAAGATTCCAGCTTCGATTGGCCGTCGATCGTCGCTTCAGCCACCACTCGCCAGAATCTTCGTGTGACAGGGGTGTTTTAGGTAGATTTCAAACCTTAAGGGTGTTTTTGATGAATTTCAAACCTTTAGGGACTAAATTTTTTTTACAAATTACTGTCCAATCGACCGATCCAATCGGTCAAACCAAAAACCGGACCCTTGAACGGGTCATTGTCCGGTCCGGTTTTCAGAACATTGTGATTTACAATAAATGAAATGAAAAACAATAATACTATACTTACAAATAAATCTTACAAAGATTTTTATACAAAGTGAGACGGCAAAAAATGAATGAAATAAAAAGTCAAACTCATTAAATTTACTCTTCCATTCATTTTTTGTCACATCACTTTGTATAAAGATCTTTGTAAAATTTCTTTGTAAGTGTAGTATTACTCAATGAAAAATTAGATAGGCCTATCTAATAATTAGGGGATAGACGATTGTATCCTAAACGTTTTTAAAAGTTTAATGATAATTTATCTATAGGTTTAAAAAACCCTTACATTTTAGTATAATTATGAAAATAGCCTCTCTTTTTTGTATTAAATATAAATTTAGAAAATTACTGATTAATTTTAATTATGGGCTTCCAAGTTCCAACGATTGTTAATATAAAAATAAAATTATTGAATTAAGGCTAATATATATTTGTAGAGCTATTTAGTGAATCAAATTAAAATCCTTTAGATTTAAATTTTCCCAAATCATATCTTACACAAGCCGGAGCCCTCATTTTCTCAAATAGTAATCAAACCTAGCCCTAGTTACCAATTCAATCCTTAAACAAACCCTAACCCTAATTTTTCCAAATCAAATCCTAAACAAACTCAAACCCTAACGTTCCCTATTTCGAATTCTAACTCAGATTAATCCAATCAGATAATTAGAGAGATCATAATTAAAGTGGAAGGCGATGGGTACAAAACCACAAATTTGATTTTTGCGTGACTAGGGGCTAGATCATGGACGATTACGATTTGGCCTCATTAGGGCAGATCCATGCCGATCAGTGAAACTTTTTTTTCCCTTTTCTTTTCCTCTAAAGAATGGTTATGTTATGGCATAAGAAAAATGAATTGAAATATGTTTATAGTAGTGTTATGATCCCATATTGAGAGGAAAATTGAGAGGGGTGGGCATGTGACTTCCTTTGAAAAGTCGATTTTTCAAAGAGGTTTTTCATGAAGAGCTCTACTCTAACCCACAAAATAATCATTGTCGAATCCAATTCATATCAAAGACCCACTGTAAAGAAGGAAAGGGAGAATGACCAATTAATTTACATATCCACTCTTAATTTTATTCATTGGCTCCGTTATGCGGGGAGTTTGATTCACGGCACTTCTTTTCATGAGATAGCTTTTTTGCAAAGCTGCAAACATTAAAGGGACAATCAGAGCTTTTACATTAAAGATGGTGACCTTCCTTTTAACGGAGAATTAGGATTCTCTCCAGATTATAATTTTGATAAAATTATCAAAATTTATTGTTTGAGTTTATAATTTGTTTAAAATTTATTTTTAATAATTCGTAGCATTTATATGTATATATATAAAAGTTACCATTGGAGTGCTTCCATATTGGTGTAATCTTTTTGAACTGGTTCATTGATACAAGTTTCCAAATTTGCACACGAGACTCGTTTGGTCAACAATATCTTTTCTTCAGCATTGAACAAAATATTCCTGATTGAAAATTCTGCTGCTTTGTCCTTTGGTGTTCCAGAAAGCACACTGTACATCTGCATCATCAAAACTTGCTTATTTTTCTTATCATTAGATTATTAACTGTTTCTTCATATTATTATATTTCTTAAATAATGCTATTGGGTTTATAAACTGATATAACTTATACGTTACATTTTACTCTTTTATTTTTTATTTTTTACATTTTAAAAGTGATATTTCATCATCAATTTGATTTTTAGTATTGTACATCACATCAGAAATTCTCTATTGTTTAGTATATAACTCACTTCATTTAATAATTCTTAACAATTTATGTTCAGATGGAGAAATATTATGAATTACATACGTAATGATTCGTGGTTGGTATGTTATATTTTTAACATCATGCTATTAAAACTACTTATATATGTTTCTAATGTATATAACAATTCCTTTTTGAATGAATTCTTTTTCTGTGGTTACTTATATGTTCAAACTATTGTTGCAAGGGTATATATATCTATACGTTGAGAAATGTTTCTTCTAATAGAAGTTTTAAAAAGTTTGTGTAGGAGAAAAGCAAAGAATATTTTTTATTTTTGTAAATTAAAATAAATAAATGTATCTGTCTCAATAAAATGACATAAGTAGATAGAATTTTATTTTATTTTCTTATGGTTTTATAAGTTAATAATCTTCTAGGGCTTCCAAAGTTTGCTAGTTAAGTAAAATTTATTTGCGCGAAAACCGATTTTAATTAATTCTTTCTTCTTCAACACTAGTAAAAAAAAGCAGCAAAAAATTGAACTCTAAGAAACAATAACTTATAGTTATTAGAGTGTAGAAGGGCTTACATTGATCCTAAGGTAATTCTTCTGTTGATGAAGGGCTTGGAAAACAACAGAGATGTGGTAATCAACCATATCCTCACTTCCTGCACTGTAACAATCTATTATTGGAGTAGATCCATCATCGTATATCCAACAAAACACCCCCCACTTTGAAACCCTTTTAGCACTGTATTTTCCTTGTCTCCTTTTCGACCCTGATCCGATTGAAATCACAATAAAACGCTCATATTCCAAGGGCTTGATTACTGGGAAGTAATCCGGATTCTTCTTTGTTATCTGTTTCATCACCTCACTAATTGCAACCAAAGTCTGCAATCATTAAGTTAATTATTAAATTGATAATATGACATATTTATACAATCTGATTTTATAGTAGGTGATTTTTAATTTCTTTACAAAAAAAAAAAAAAAAAAAAAGAATCTTACAGGATTGTTGGCTGCCATTCCACCATCGATGAGATTGAATTCATGATCTTTGTTGGTAAAGCAATGGGCAGGAGAATAAGTTGGCGCTGCTGAGGTCCCTATGCATATGTCCGATAATTTAGCATCTAAGCCTGTATCGGGTGTTAGCTGCATGCGTGGAAAAATTAAATATAAAAATTATATTCCAATTTTTATTATCAGGACTGGATAAACTGTTTGCTTCTAATTAACAATGCCGGCGAAAAACACAAGCAACGAATGTTCATATTAACTTCATTCAATATATCGTCTATAATAATAAACCTAATGACTTGATGTGTTATTCTCTACTTATAAAAGCTTTATCTAAATATTTATCCTCTCCTCTCAAGTCTCAAACCACTTTCATAAAACTTCATAAAATAAGTATTGTACTGATAGACGCAACCGCGGCCATGGCTAGCAGTAAAACTTTTCACTTTGTGCATGGCTATAACTCAAACCTCTTTCTCTGAGTGTTTGTGTGGAAATATGATCATGATTCATGGCTGTGTTTATGTGTATAAGATATGTATATGTATCATCTTGTAAGCTAACAACCTGATAGGAGGAAAAGAAAGTGGGCTGAAGTTTCTTGACGTCGAAGGTTGGAATAACTACGTTTGTCAAAGCTTGGTGCAATCTTTTGTCCTTTAAATTCTCCCTTATCACCTTATGGAGATACTTCCCATCATATTTGCTTCCCGTTAGAGCTTTCCATAGATTTACAAGCCAAGCTAGCATTCCCCTGTGTATTTCATAACCAAGAAGGTGAACCAGCACAGTCAAAATACATATAACAATTCTAACGCGTAGCAGAAGACTAGAGAATGATAGATGATAAACTTGACCCATCAAAATAAAATAAAATTCAGAAGTTAATTAAAAGCCACTCATTTCATTTCTTGTTAAACACATATTAATCCAAAATAAAAACCATTCAACAAACAAGCTTGGAATTTTCTGGACTGATAGGCGCATGTGGAGTGTGGATCAAAATATTTAATATTTAAAAAAACTTAGTCGTTCTTTTTTATAATTATTTTAAGTTGACATATGTTATTGAATGAGTTAACCGTATCCTGTCTCTTGGCTTAATGTAATACCTGGGCTGAATGCGTGTGGTTCTCTGTTTTCTTTGTTCTTATTGACAGGAAAACTAATGATGGTTTCTTCTTCTTTTAAGTAATTAATCAATAATTTAAGTTCAAATAATGTTCTAATTCTACTAATCCCTTTTACTTCATCACCTCATATTCAAACCTGTTCTTGAAAGAAAGGATTTTTAACAGACAAATGGGCAAATAATATATATATTGTGGTTACTGGAATTTTGCTGTACCTGATTTTGATTTTGCAAGCTATGTGAAGTCAAGATATTTTGGTTTATCTCTTCCAATTTATAATAGTGAATAAAAATGAAAAATTGTAATAGGTGGGTGGTCTGAGAGTAGAAGTGTTCAAACCTGCAGAAAATACTTCAAAATCAATTGTAGATAATTTTTAAGATAATCGATTGAGTTTAAATCCAAGCAGGGATATAGAATAATTTTAGTCTAAAATTGCAATATTTATGGCTAAAGTAATGGAGATGCAGAATTCGATTTTGAATAAGATTTGAAACGACTAAGATCATGATCGATCGCAGTATTGATGTTTGAATCGATATCGACGTGGCTGCTTGAGCTACCCAATCTGATAGGATATGTTCATTCAATCCAATTGACGTAAACCGAGGACATCCCCATGGACCACAATGTGTTTGCAGAAAATAATATGTGTACTTAGAAAAACTTTAAGTGCATTTAGTAGCCCATTTACGATAACAATCTCCACAGCGGGTACTATAGTACTGATATCTTACTTTGGCCCATAAAGATTGCAAGTAGGACCCATTTGGAATTTACACACTGCGTTACCATTTAAACCCACAGTAATTGGCAGTGGTATTACAGTATTACTTGACCGATTTGGAAAATTTTAAGTGGTCTTAAAATAAAATTATATAAAAAAGGATGTTATATTAAAATTGTAGGAATATATCCACCATATCTATTATCTACATTCTCTAGTTCTGAGTTCTGACCACAATGTGTTAGAATTTGATTTCAAGGCCCATCCCATCAACCTCCTCAAACCTGATTTCATACATCCAAATGCAGCCACATCTTTCCCTTCTTTGTAAAATCAAGAGCCATCTGTTTTATCAATAAACGCACTTTCTTTTACGATAAGGATAAAACTGTAAATTCCACATACTAAAGTCGGCTGAAAACACTGGTTTTGACGGGAAGCATGTTAATTGTCTTGATAGGGAGGAGAAATGCTACAGAAATCATGTTAATTTGAACTACTTACTATAGTTCTCTACTAACAAAATAAGTGAAGTGTGATTGCTTTAGAGGAATAAGAACAAAAGGGAATAGTCATAATTTGGCACAAATTTAGAATACATCATTTGAATCACAGGGGGAGGTGAAGAAAAGTTAATACTTGAGAGAATATTTGTATCATAGGTTGGGCCAATCTTTATTGAAAACTATGAAAACTTTTTTATTAAATTCTATAGTGGGGTTACTGATAAAAATCAGTGGCGTTATAAATAAGGTAGACACTCAACAACCATACATTTACTGACCCGCCCCAATTCAAGTACATTTTCAATCATGTTCTCCCGTACTCATTTTGTAGTATCCCACTTCCCCGTTTACACACACACACACACCCTCTACAATACTTCATCTCTACGTATTTAATTATTGCATTCCACAATATTAATTCTATCTACTTCTAGAAACACAATTTTTATATTTATAAATTAATACGTTGTGTTATGCTAATATTAATTCTATCTACTTCGAGAAACACAATTTTTATATTTATAAATTAATACGTTGTATTTTGCTTTTGATGAATATATATTTTAGATGCTAAATAATGTATAAGTACGTCTTCTGATAATATAAGCTCTAGATAAATTTGAGGCTAGATGATATGAAATGCTTAAAACACTAAGAAAAATCTGATCGGCTACACGTTAAATGTTTTATATATATTTAGTTGTATTACATGGGTTATGATGTTATTTACATCATGAGATGATTTATACTCATATTATATGATATTTAGATGTTATATCACAACATGTAATATGTGTGTAATATGTTTTGTATGTGTATGCATTGATGTTTATATAGCCATGAGATAAAATAATGAAAAACATATAAATTAAAAAAAAAAAAAAAAAGGGAAAGTATACCTAGATGTAAAAGACAAGTGATGTGTTAACAAATATATTTAAATGAAGGTCAAATAACACATTAATAATGAAATGGATCATCCCTTGCTGAGCGATTAGCGCTAACCATTCCATTGTTGATTGCTTTGCAGGTAGACCATAAGCGAAGGATGCTAGAGACTGAGGGCTACACGTGAGGGGAAATGATTTATTGTCATCTTGATGTTTTTATCTTGATGTAAATAATGTAAATGATAAATGTTTGTGAAACACATTTGGAAGCTTCCACCCTATAAATATGTTTTGATTGTGTAATTTTTGGATAAATTCTTAAAGTTTTTGAAATTATAAGTTTGGATCCTGTGTGACATCTTATATGCATGTTTTGAATATTATTATTATTATCCTTACATAGATTTTTTCTAAATATAACTCGTTCTCC